CATATATATATATATATATATATATATATATATATATATATATATACACATATATATATAGTGGGTATTATATGCATACATGCTGTAGCTTAAAAATCCCATGCCTACTTTTAAAGGATACTCAGCCTGGCTGTCATGCATTTCTTACTCTCCAAGTAACATATTAGATTTACTTTGGACAATCAAGATTTGCTTTGCCAGTCAGTTAAATTATCAGCTGCCAGTGTGTAATGACAGGATCACTTCTGAGATACGTGTAATGTAGTGCATGTGTGCAGTCTGTAAATGTAACATCAGGAATGTGTCAATGGTGCAAAAGCCTTGTCTGGATGATTTTAGTTGAGAGAAGAAAAGGGTTTTTTGAATTTTCTCACTGTTACAGGGATAGAACATACATAAAAGTGAACATTGTAGGACCTGATGTCAGTAAAGTATCTGAAACGTGGAGTAAAAATGTAGACTATCCCACATGTACATTTTTCTGATTTCACACATGATTATGTTTTGTATACACTACAAAGCTGTTGCAAGGCTTGCTTTGTTCTTCCCTGAATGCAATGGAAAAACGTGTAGTGAACTCAGTGAAAACCACAGGAAGCCTAAAATGTAGCTCTGAAGAGTAGTGACAGAGGGAGTAAGGGAGGGAAGGAGGAAATTCAAAGTGAGCAATGTCCATGGTTACAAAGGCAAATATAATTATCACTGTTTCTGACACAGCCATCATCTGGATAGGACTGATGGTTTTCATTACACACATACATATATGTATGTTACATACACATGCATATATGTATATATCTGTATGTATATAACTGTATATATACCTTATATAAGGTTGATTTTAGATGCACTTCAGGAGGGGAGCAAAGGATTGGGGCTTTCGTTTTGTCTGTCTCTGAATTGATTTTATATGCATTTGCTTGCAAAACCAAAGGCAAACACAGAAGGGAGTGGAAGACTGCCATGGACTTAATCTTGTGGATTAATTAAATTTAATTAGCACTAATGTGTTTGGATTCTGCCCGAGATACAAAACATGGGCTTTTTAGCTATAGAAGAGGGATTCAGTTTCTGCTACAGCTCTGCCCTTACCACCACTTTTACCCATTGTGAGCTTTTTCAGAGAAGTCTCCTCTGGGGACAGCAGTGGAGGGAGTAAGGCAGAACTAAAAGGAAGCAGAGAGTAGAGAAGAAATTAAGTGAAGGCAGGATCACAAGCAGATACATTTCTTTATTTCAGATCACATAGAAGTCAGTGCAATCTGAGGCAAGGCAAGGTGGAGCATGCTGGCAGGGAGGCCAAAGGACCGGGGTGGGTGCAGAAACTTGGTTTGTTGCATAATAACACCTCCAGCTTTTCCAGCAGACTTGCACAGCTCTGGTCTCAATCTTGTGTTCCCTCTTCTGCATGACCAAATAATTCACAGGCTATTCCAAGTACTTTGTGAAGGTTTCCCTTGCACTCCATCAGCTGGTTTGCAAGTTTACATACATGTCTCATGACAGCATCCAGTGTAGACATCAACAACTGTTTGCTCTGTTTTAGCAAAGCCAGACCAGATACAAGAAAAGAAAAAACCTGAACAACAAAATTAGTTGTGTTGAGAATTTTGTTGCGAACATGACATACTCCTCAAGATAACTTGGTCCTACAGAACAACAATTTCTATGATATCTTTTTTGCCCCAAATTCAGGGCATATTTTCTGTTCTCTACCAATTACATTAAAATGTCTTCAATTACATAATAAAGCATTTCTCTTGATGCTTCTTTACACCCTTTAAACCCTAAGACTGGCATTCCCTTTTAAGGTGATTTATCTGTTTGCAGTCCTTTTTACATGGCAAATCTATGAAAAGGACCCTAAACTCCAACTCTTTCTAATATATAAAAAAAACTTAATTAACTCTATTATGTACTGCTTGTGTGAATTTATTTGGGAAAAAGTTCAAGTCAAACCGAACCCTAGAAGTGCTCAGATTTAACTGCAGGGGATTCTTGTTTTCCAGCACAAGAGCACATACACATTGTTTCAGATCCTTTATAAACTTGTTTTCAGTATATCAGAAGTAACATATTTAGCAAACACACAGAAATACAGAATATCTGATAAATATTACTGTTCTTAGTGCTGATAAATAAAAAGGTTTGTCATGTTTATAAATAATCCTTCACAATTACATGTTACATCTTGAAAATGTTTTGATCTTTTCAGATAAGCTATTCAGCCCTTGGGATTTTTAACTTATGTCTTGGGCAAGATAACCAAATGCAGATCGTCAGTGAAGAAGACATTATTTAATCATTATCCACAGGGCTTTTAATCCTTAAACACTATTCTTAAATCACTGCAACCTCATGACTTTTCCAATCATTAAGGATTACTGCCACCTTTTAAAGATGCAGAAATGAAGGAAAAGAAGTTAAATGACTTGTTAGAGAGCACAGAGGTAGCAGTATCTGATCCTGGAATAAAAACAGATGCTTGACTTTTTCACCTAAAACTAGTAAGATGCTGATATACAAAATCTTCATTGCCATTGATAGACAATAGTCTGTACAACAATTACAAACACTGCCAAACAAAACAGCTTGCTCCCTACTTTTACAGAATTTGAGCAAATAACCTTGTTGTTTATTTGGAAAATAAAAATTCATTCTCATGCATTATTTATGTGGTAACTAAGACTGATAAATTTTATTTAATTTTATGTGATTTGGGATTGACCACATAGGTGAGGTAGTACCTCTTTTGCCCTTCATTGACTGGCTTTAGAACAACATCTAGTGATCACATGCTAAAGACTGGATTTTTGTTGTTGGTTTTGATACATAGTCATTTATACTCAGGATTTCAAATTCTTGGTGTTGGATTTCATGTTCAAGTTATCCGTAGACTTTAGATAATAAAATAGCTTGAATTTGAGTAAATAATGGCATAATCCATTCACAAAATGCATTTCAGAAAATATTAGTGCTGCACTTTATTTCTTCTTGGCTTTCATTAGTCCACAGTAGTATCTGAAGCCCTTCAGTTAAATCTCTAAAGCTATGATTTGTCACATCTTCTCTCTATAGTAATTGATTATTTTTGCTGATTTTTTTAGTGACAAGCTTTTCAAATGGGACACATTTTTTAATGATTGATTAACCTGGGATCTTTAACAAAAGGATATTTAAAGCATGTGTTGAATCTTCTACTTCTAGCACTGCTCTCAGATAATTCAACCACATTGATCTAAATTATCCTTGGCATGAAGGAAGCAGATGTAGGCTGTTTGTTACACTACCACAGAGACTTAATTTTGATGTAAATGTCACTCTTGCCAGCTCTTTGTATAAAGAATTAATTCCAAGAGTCATATTCCCTTCTAATGGAAAGATTGCTTTAGTGATTGCTAGGAAAAAAAAAAAAAAGGGTAATAGAAGACACTCAGTTGAACCAACTTGTTTCCAAAGCAAAATATGGTTTTTGATTGGTTTGTGACAGCCAGCATTTAAGATTCTGCAAGTTATCAAGCTCCCTTAGCTCTAACTAGAGCCACTAAAAATGGAGGCATCTCAGCACACAGAAGGTGCTCAACCCCTCATAAACTCAGAAGCCCTTGGTGTTAAGAGGTCCCCTTTGAGTTTTGAGTTCTGCAGAGCACAAGTCAGATGTTATTCTCATACTTGCATTTTAATGCTTTTCCTTCATGTTTCCTATTCTTAATTTCAGTTCCGTTTCAGAGGGATTGGTTTACTCCTTCTATTGAGCCTTGAGTGCTCAATCCCTTTGCCAGGTTATGGTGCTCCAGGTGGAGCAGCTACCAGACCTGTCCATGAAGATGAGCTTTATTATGTGATTTTCTTTGTTCGTTTTCACTGTGGCATGTTGCACAAGTGTACATTTCCCTTTGGGATAATTTGCAGGCATTTCTGATGTAAGAATTTCTACACAAAGAGGGTGCATAGGTGCTCTTGTGCACTGACCTCTCAGCCATCCACCACTGGGCTGTGCAAGCAGCTTCAAGTCTGTCTCACAAATCAGCCAGGCAGCACAGATAGAGATGTTCAGCTAATGGCTCCTTTCCCTTTTTTCTTTTTCACCCTTTCTAAATCTGTGCTACAAAGCACATTTGTAAGATGTTTAGGCTCCAACCCCATCCTCCTTCCTCCTGACTCTGCACTGGTTGTGCTATTTCCAGAAGAGCCAAGGTCCAGCCTGAAACTGGTTCTATTTTTAGTCATTGTCTGTTGGACATCCCAGGAATAAATCATTAAACGGTAAGGTCAAACTGAAACATGAAAGAGATTTTTGTCCAAATACATTGTGTCTAAGCTCATATGAAATGGAAACCTGAGACAGAACAGCTTGCTTTTCACCGGCAATAACAAAATAGTGTACTTAGACCTACCAACTGTCCCAGCACCTTCTGCCTCCACTCTAGAAACTAACTCCTATCTCTGACATCCATTAGGAACAGTGTGTTGGAGACCCAGTCCTCTTCTTTCCTTTTTAAGTTTCACACTTTGTAAATGACAATCACTGCTTGACGCAGATGTTGCACTGTATGCCACTCAGGGATGTTTCATTACTAAAAAATAGCTATATAAATATAACAGTGATAATAGGGAAAATAATATTAGAGGCTTTGAAGGGCCCAAATGAATGCGACCCAGACAAGGCTTTGAAGCCAGTGGTTAGAAGTAACATTGGTATAAACTGAATTCACTGTCAGCATTTCCTCAGCTTGAAGGTTTCCTCACTTCGCCCGTTGTTTCACAGTCAGTAAAACCCTACTGACCCGTCAGGTTGTGATGTTAAAGTCCTTTTGGGAAACAAAATGCAAGTGAGATTTAGACAAGTTACTGAATTTAGACAACTGACAAAAGAAAGTGCAGTTTAAAAGTACTGAGTTTTGGCAACATTAATGTGAGCTCATATTCA